ATAGGGCCCAAAAATTCCTAACATAAATAGCTTTTCTGTGAATGTTAAAAAAATAACATGAAAATATTTCTTCTTCCCAATGAGTAAAATAGGCTGACATGGCCAATATAGTGGCCAAGATGGTCAAGTACTGTGAAAACTATGGGTAGTAGAAAACCTGACACTGAAAAAACAGAGATTTTCACTCATAGCAAAAAGAAAAAAAAAGCCAACAAGACAAAACAACAAGACAAAAAAGCCCCAACATTTCCTTGCTAAAACCCTTCCTCATAGGGAGACAAATAAAACATGCCAGTTCCTCACCAAAGGAGTTATTTTCTGATTAAAGGGCTGACATTGCTGCTTATACTATATGGCACAAATTTCTCACAAGAACAGTTCATACATACACTATGGTATGTAACATAACATTCAAATTTTGAAGTTATACTTAAAGACAGTTTCAGACAATTTTAGCATACCTAAAGAAAAAACGGTCTTGAACCTCTTTTTTCTGTCACCATCATGAAGCCCAACTTCACTCTTTACCTAGGCATAGACACAAATTGCCCTAGCAAACACGTGGACAGAATATACAATTATCTGTAAAGACTCCTTACTGGAAGCCCAAGAAACTGACAATTTCTGTATGAAGCTGTATTAACCTGCAGGAGTGTTAGAATTCTCTCAGTGTGTTTTCTGACAGTACCAGCACACACCCAGATTTAGAGCCAACACAGATAAAACTAATTCCTATGAAGATGAAGTAATGCTGATTATAAATTAGGGGGAAAAAAATCCCAAACAGCTGGAAACTGCCTCCAAAGCTGACCTGCACACATTTTTCACAATTTTCCACTATAAATGAAGGAAACCCACTCTGCTGACACACTCTGTTCCTCTTCTGTTTATATAACTGCAAGAACTAATTTTCCTGAAATCCGCTTGTAGCGGATACATTACTAGTGACCTCCTGACAGTCACTGCTCCTGTAGGGCACTTAAATCTCTTCCAAGCTGCACTCATTCTGTCTCTAGCAGTAACACATCATTGCCTCAGAAACATTTTAATGTTTTAAAGCCTTTAAAAACATGGTCTGAAGTACTGTTCTGTTCAAAACAAATGTGCCTGAGTGAATACAAAGGGATATTTAAAAAGAAAAACAACCAACAAACCAAAGCACCACCACCAAAAGAACCCCAAACCTGGGCCAGACACTTTAATCAAAGTAAGACTGAAAAATTCAAACTGATGCACATCTACAAAATTCCCCGAACATAAGCAGAAGATACTGCAGAGTGCTTGGCAATATCCTAGCTTTTCAATTAGGCAACACAGCAGGAATTACAAGTTACAAATATGTAACACATTTAAAGACTGGGAAAGTTTCCCACTGGAGGGGCAGGGCAAGATTTACCAGCACACAGAAGAGAGCTCCTTACAAAGAATTTGGCTTTATCTGAGTGTTCAGAACTAGACTAGCTCTGCTTCACCCTGAAGTAGCAGCTCCTACCATGGGTAACTTGTCCATGTAAAAACAAAACCAAAACAACAAACCCTCAGTTTCCCTGAGAAAAATGTTTCCCCAATTTCCTATGCTCCAATGGTGACCTAGCAAAAGTAACAGGACAATTGCACACATTTATACTGAATAATATTTCTCTCAGACCATTGTAAGGAGGTTAAAAAGAGAGAAAAAAAATAGTAAATACAGTTTTTAGGTTAGTAGAATATCTGAGAAAACAGCAGTGTCACCTTTCTCCATCCCAAGAGTAAGGCTCATAGATTCAGAAAGTCAAATTGAAATGTTCCAACCTTGGACTAGTTTTGCCTGAAGCTGAAGAATCCCTGCTACTGAGACATATCCTGCAAAACACTATTGTCCTTTTCCAAACACTTCATTTCTTATTCTACAAGAGCTGAGAAAAATAGCAGAGTAAACAGATCGTAAATTTGGCATCAGAATTATCATAATCATAAATCAGAATCCTTCCTTTCATCTCCATCATTTCCTCCCCTCTGGACTCCTTCTTAACAGCATATCTCAGACTTTTACATTCAAAATTAGCTCAAACCAGAATGAATGGCCCATACAGGGATCAAACCTGCGCCCTGGCATTATTAGAACCATGCTTTGAACAACTGAGCTAACATGCAACTCTATTCTAAGAAAATACTAAAAGCTAACAAAAAGGAAGCATCATGACATGTTCCAAATGTCTGCCTCAGATCTCAGCAGCAGTCAACATACTTAAGCATTGCAACTACAAAACTGAATTCTGTGCATGTTATCACTATCAGGTCCTTCGAACACAGAGAGAGTTATAGAACTGGCAATGTATCATCCCATTTACAGCCTATACATTCCAGCTGATAGTAGTCACTTCATAGAATCAGAAAATGCTATGGATTGGAATGGACATTGAAGATCATTCAATCCCAACTCTTATTTAATTAATTATCAAAACTAAAGTTTTCTTAAAAATAAAATAACCCTTTCTTTTTGTTTAAATGTTATGGACTAATCTTGCCAAAGACCTGAAACTACATCAGAATTTTAAGGTTTAATACAGTCAGCTCACCACAGCTATAACACATGTATGTAGTATTTTATGTATACGTACACATATAGTCACAAGCAATACCTGTATGCAATAAAAGATATAAAGAAAAAATAAGATGCTAATGATTTCGTGCAAAAGCAGGGAGGGAAAGGTCAGCATAAAAGGGAAGTGATACAAAAATAAGGGAAAGACAGTTAAAAAACCTCCAACGAATCTGATACAAACTCTTCTTCACATCTGTTACCCGCTCTCTGAAGCTGACTTTGTAGCCCACCCAACATCAGCTCACAGAAATCAAGATTTCATAGCAAACTTTCTCCATTAAACACCAAATAAGCAATAAGGGCTTAACTCATTCAGTTTCTCAGAGTTAATTCTGGGTCAAAAAAAAATTTAGATATCAAAAGCTGTTTTATCTGTTTTATCACATCTGCATTTCTCTAAGTATAAAACACAATTTTTAAAAGATGCCAAACAGCTTAATGATTGCCTCAAACATCAAGCATGACACTGGTTTATAACACTGACTACTCCTACAAGTTTATTTGGGTTTTTTCCCAAATCAACAACAAAAACATGTCCCAAGGCTGCTAGCCAGATACTACTTGGACAAGAAAAGCTATTCTTTTGCTAGCACAGAATTGTGGGACTCTCCCTGAAATAGCTCAGGCATTTAATGCATTAGTGAGAAACACTTAGGATTCTGTCACTCCCTCAAAAACTATTCCACAAAATGGTGCAGAAATTTATTCCAGGCGAACAACCCCTGAAAATTTGTCAGAGTTCTTAAAGAAAAGAGCATTTCAAGAAACTGACATTCATTTCAGAACAGGATAAACTTTTGTAAGATTTTTTTTCACTCTTAACTCCTTTTTTACAGCTCTTGAAGGTGCTTCAAAACAAAAGGAAGTTTCAAGTTTTACAGTCTCTCTATTTTTCTTCTTAGAGGAAATTGTAAGAAAACAATTACCTAGTCCAAGCAGCAACAAGTTCTAGAAAGACTTACAGCTCTTCAAAAGAGAATACTAATTTTAACACACCTTCACATAATTTATCTAATTTTTCTGTCAGCGCAAGATTGAAATTAACTCCTGAGGTCTGAAGTGATGCTATTTTAGGGCTTCAGCTGATAACTGAGTAAGCTGAACTTAATATGAAAAGCATAATGTCATTAGAAGAGATCCAGCTGGTTCTTTTTCATTCTAAGATAATTTTTTTCAACTTTTCATTTTTAATTCTACTCCTAGATGAATTTAAGACAGCAAGGCAGAGAGGTAATGTACAAATTGTCTTTTAACACAGTTGCTAACGATTCCAAATTAAGAACAGATATTTAGCACATACAGTTAAATTAGAGAATGTTTAACAAGCAACAAATCTGTGATCCTTCAAAATGACTCATCTGAGTTCCTGGATGCTGTTGCCTAACCATGAGAAATCAGTCCGTGTTATCACAAGTGTGATTTACCATTACCATGTCATCAATACCTTCTGCAAAATCGCTGTTAATATTGCTTATGCTGACTTAATTCACTGAGAGAAATCCATTAGTCGTGCTTTCTAGAAATTGTTTGGGCTAGTAAAACATTTTAACAAAGATGTTTTAATAACTGTACATTAAGCTAGGATGCTCTTTTAAAGATTAGTATGTTAAAGTCTAAATCCGTTCTTTCTCATGAATAAAGGCCTAGAACAATTGTGCTAAACTCACTTTGAAAAAATAATGGCTAAACACTTGAGAATTTGTGAAAATTAGACCACATTGCATCAAGACAACTACACTCAGGCCCAAATGCACCAAAAAGAATGCCTAATCCATCTGAACTGAGTTTACTATTTCACAAATTCCAGCGTGGTTAAAAGGTCATATATGCCTTTCTCAACATACCAAGTCTATAGAAAGCAACATTCATCCTAAAAAATGATGAATAACACATGAAAAACAAACAAAAAAATACTTTAAATGATGGATTTGTGCCACAACAAGAGGATCAGTGGTGCATTTTATGAAAAGTATCTCTCCCTGAACACCATCAACAAATAAACAAACCTTAAATCACTTTGCATCTGGCCTACTTAAAACTGCAAAGCTGATGAAAAACATCTACTAAAAATAGTAGCACCACTATGGACTTATAAATAGAAATGAGCCTTCTCAAAATGTTGGATTCACTAATAATGCCCCAAAACACTACGATTTCCAGCACAAAATGACAACTTTCACAGCAATTAATATTCAACACCATAGAAATAATATGTAGATATTATGTAAACCAGAATGACAAATGTGCACAGTAAAAAGCATTGACAACTTTGCGCAAAGTACAGTGACGGTCTTATGCCTTTAAGCATACTAACACAATTTAAAAACAAACAAACAAACAAAGAAACTTTAAGCAAGTTTAGTATTTGTGGTGAATATTTTCCAGGTTAAAGTTGACAACTGTGTCTACTTACACCTGACTACAGCGAATTGGGAACTGCTGAGTGTTAGCACTCCATCAATGAGTAACTTGAACTGCTGCTGGAGACCAGATGCTCAGGGTTTAACCAGCTCTCCCTGCAGACGTACCGGCGACAACCTCAACACAGATCAAAAACGCTGCACCTCAGCAATGAATGACCCACTTTAAATTCGGATGCTGAACACAGGCAGTGCCTCTCCGAAGCTGCCTAAATTCAGCCCGACGCTAAAATTAACATTTTCCCGCTATGGAAGCCGGGGGTTCACAGGGCCCGGCTCGCTCACACCGTTACCAGCAGAACAAACAGGTCGCCGTATCTCCGTGAGGATGGATTTTCTGGGATAGGCTCGCAAAGAGAGGGGAAAAGCAAACCTCCGGCCCCACCAGCAAAAGGAGAGGCGCCGGGTATGTGGGAGAGGTGGTCCTGCCCGCTGAGCATCCCCGAGCGCCGTAGGCGCCTCCTTCCCCGAGAGATACCCCCTTCCCGGAGAGAGATCCCCTTCCCAGAAACAGACCCCCGCTCCGCCCGCCTCCCGCACGTGATCGCCTTCTTCCTCCTCCTTCCTCCTCTTCCTCTCCCGGCCCCACCTCGCCCCAGCCGGGTCAGAGGGCTGCGTACCGAGGGGGGACAAACCCGCGCCCTCCCCGGAGAAAGCGGCGGCACCAGCACGGGAGGAAGTGGGGAAAGGGAAGGGAGGGAAGGAAAGAGAAAGGAAGGGAGGACCGGACCGGGCCATACCCGCGGTCCCACCGCCCCTCTGCCAGAAACACGCCCCCCATCCCTGTCGGCCTGTTCCCCCTGCGCTCCCCTGGCCCCCCGCTCCGGGCGAGGCGGCAGCGAGCT